GTGATATCACAGGTCTATACTCTACTGTATATTGACTAGAATGGTGATGTCACAGATCTATACTCTACTGTATATTGACTAGAATGGTGATATCACAGATCTATACTCTACTGTATATTGACTAGAATGGTGATATCACAGATCTATACTCTACTGTATATTGACTAGAATGGTGATATCACAGGTCTATACTCTACTGTATATTGATTAGAATGGTGATATCACAGATCTATACTCTACTGTATATTGACTAGAATGGTGATGTCACAGATCTATACTCTATTGTATATTGACTAGAATGGTGATATCACAGGTCTATACTCTATTGTATATTGACTAGAATGGTGATATCACAGGTCTATACTCTACTGTATATTGACTAGAATGGTGATGTCACAGATCTATACTCTACTGTATATTGACTAGAATGGTGATATCACAGATCTGTACTCTATTGTATATTGACTATAATGGTGATATCACAGATCTATACTCTACTGTATATTGACTAGAATGGTGATATCACAGATCTGTACTCTACTGTATATTGACTAGAATGGTGATGTCACAGATCTATACTCTACTGTATATTGACTAGAATGGTGATGTCACAGATCTATACTCTACTGTATATTGACTAGAATGGTGATATCACAGATCTGTACTCTACTGTATATTGAGTAGAATGGTGATATCACAGATCTATACTCTACTGTATATTGACTAGAATGGTGATATCACAGATCTATACTCTACTGTATATTGATTAGAGTGGTGATATCACAGATCTATACTCTACTGTATATTGATTAGAATGGTGATATCACAGATCTATACTCTACTGTATATAGATTAGAATGGTTATATCACAGATCTATACTCTACTGTATATTGACTAGAATGGTGATATCACAGATCTATACTCTACTGTATATTGACTAGAATGGTGATGTCACAGATCTATACTCTATTGTATATTGATTAGAATGGTGATATCACAGATCTATACTCTACTGTATATTGACTAGAATGGTGATATCACAGATCTATACTCTACTGTATATTGATTAGAGTGGTGATGTCACAGATCTATACTCTACTGTATATTGACTAGAATGGTGATATCACAGATCTATACTCTACTGTATATTGACTAGAATGGTGATATCACAGATCTATACTCTATTGTATATTGATTAGAGTGGTGATGTCACAGATCTATACTCTACTGTATATTGACTAGAATGGTGATATCACAGATCTATACTCTACTGTATATAGATTAGAGTGGTGATATCACAGATCTATACTCTATTGTATATTGAGTAGAATGGTGATATCACAGGTCTATACTCTACTGTATATTGACTAGACTGGTTATGTCACAGATCTATACTCTACTGTATATTGACTAGAATGGTGATATCACAGGTCTATACTCTACTGTATATTGACTAGAATGGTGATAGCACAGATCTATACTCTACTGTATATTGACTAGAATGGTGATATCACAGGTCTATACTCTACTGTATATTGACTAGACTGGTGATGTCACAGATCTATACTCTATTGTATATTGACTAGAATGGTGATATCACAGATCTATACTCTACTGTATATTGACTAGAATGGTGATATCACAGATCTATACTCTATTGTATATTGACTAGAATGGTGATATCACAGGTCTATACTCTATTGTATATTGATTAGACTGGTGATATCACAGATCTGTACTCTATTGTATATTGACTAGAATGGTGATATCACAGATCTATACTCTACTGTATATTGACTAGAATGGTGATATCACAGATCTATACTCTATTGTATATTGACTAGAATGGTGATATCACAGGTCTATACTCTATTGTATATTGATTAGACTGGTGATATCACAGATCTGTACTCTACTGTATATTGACTAGAATGGTGATGTCACAGATCTATACTCTACTGTATATTGACTAGACTGGTGATGTCACAGATCTATACTCTACTGTATATTGATTAGAATGGTGATATCACAGATACTTTGTGATATATCAAATAGACATATATAGAAATAGTGAGTAAAATTCATAGTTTGAAATATTTTTGAAGGAATTATGCGATTTTCCTACATTTATAGTTCTTCTGAAGAGTATTTACATATTTTCAAGATTCAAATCAACCCCCCAAAATGGCCCACCTGTCCCTGTAAGAACATTGATTGCTTGATTTCAGAGAAGTAATAATTTTGACTAAAGACATCGAAAAGTTACGATACGAGAAAGTCTGATTTGTTAGGGGGATGGAAAACTTAGGTGCTTGGAGAAACTATGGACCAGAATCTAGAGAAATGTGTTCCTTAAATCATCAAAAGATTTTAACTAAAATCATCTTTCAGTTAGTTTCTTGACCCAAACTGTCTAAACCGGGGGTTTTCAACCTTTTTCTTTCTATAACCCCTTTCAGAATCCTAGATCGTTTGCATACCCCCCTTTCCCCTATAAATCCTTACTATTACCCCCCACTTCCTATAAATCCTTACTATTACCAGATTTTCTCTTAGGTTTTCACTGCAATCTTTTTCATGTCATAGAATATAGGCCTGAATAGAACAACTTGAAATCATAATTGCCCTCGAATTTTATGCTTGAATGCAAAGCGACTCATTACCTCCCAAAAATGTCAAAATTACCCAGTTGGGGGTAATTACCGTAGTTTGAAAACCCCTGATCAAAAACGTTTTGTAAATATCTATCACAAAATAATAAAAAAAAAACAACAGTTTCAATGATATATCTTTCATTAAAAATTTGTTTGAATTAATAAATAGATTATTACAGTGATTACATTAAAATTACATTATTAAAAGACATATACAGACATCTCATTTTTTATGGACCAGCTAAATGTGCTGTATAATTGTATTAGTCATTTTTCTTTGTAAGAAAGTGTGCAAATAATATGTAGGACAAGGATATTGTATTCCATTACAAAAGATTACATTACTTTTCAGAATGAAAGTCAGATATCAGGCTTGCCTTCAGTAGTTTGCATTAATGAACAAGTTTTTGCAAATCTACAACATATTTCAGTAGAAAGAACAGAATAATGAGAAATCGTTATTATCTAGGAGATAGTGCTGGCACGATATATTGGTGAATTGATGTATCACGATACGAAATGCCACGATACCCCTATCATATTGCGACGTCGTGTTCCCCACTCCCTATAAGTCCTTATTATTACTCCCCACTCCCTATAAATCCTTACTATTACCCCCACTCCCTATAAATCCTTACTATTACTCCCCACTCCCTATAAATCCTTATTATTACCTCTCTTCCCTCTATAAATCCTTACTATTACTCCCCACTCCCTATAAATCCTTATTATTACCTCTCTTCCCTCTATAAATCCTTACTATTACCCCCACTCCCTATAAATCCTTACTATTACTCCCCACTCCCTATAAATCCTTATTATTACCTCTCTTCCCTCTATAAATCCTTACTATTACCCCCACTCCCTATAAATCCTTACTATTACTCCCCACTCCCTATAAATCCTTACTATTACTCCCCACTCCCTATAAATCCTTATTATTACTCCCCACTCCCTATAAATCCTTATTATTACTCCCCACTCCCTATAAATACTTACTATTACGCCCAGTCCCTATAAATCCTTATTATTACCCCCACTCCCTATGATCCTTACTATTACTCCCCACTCCCTATAAATCCTTATTATTACTCCCCACTCCCTATAAATCCTTATTATTACTCCCCACTCCCTATAAATCCTTACTATAGCTTTTTCATGTCAGAGAATATAGTATAGAACATACTGTATAGAACAACTTAAATTATAATTGTCCAAATATTTTTATGCAACTCATTACCCCCTAAAAATGTCAAAATTACCCCCCTTGGGCGTAATCACTCCCAGGTTGAAAACCCCTGACTTAAACAATTTATATATTTATTTACTATTTGTCAGTATGAGACTTATTAGGGGTTCTTGTTTTATGGAGGTGATGAACCCAATGAACTGTCCATGGGCAATTTGTCCGGTGTTGATGGTCTGTCAGTAGGTGAATTCTTATCACTTATATAACCATCATTTAGCGAAGAATCATTACTGGACGATTTCTTAGCATTTGTTGAACTAGGGTCATTTGTATCAAAATGCTCCTCAGATTTTCCTTCTTTTGAAGTTAATTTGACGTCGTTTGAAGCAGCAGCATTAATTTCTTCCATCTGATCCACAGTTAGGTCAATACTGTTTTCCCGACTGGAGTCATGGACGTCATGACTATTATTTTCATCTTCTGCTTTGAGTTCTTCAAATTCCTCCTCTGATTCCGAATGATTGATGCCTTCATATGATTCAACTATAAACTGAAATAGGCCGATTTTCTTCTTAGGCTTTCTGTATGACTGACAGACATTTTGATAATACCCTTCTATATTTAACATTAATACACCTGTAATACATGAAACAATCAATAGTAAGCTTATGGTCAAATTAATGTATTGTGGTCTTAAGATATCAAGTCTGTGTGAAGAATTATCTCTCTTGAGAGAAAAGTGATAAACCTGAATAAAGATGACAGAAGGCGTTTTTGTAGGCCAATTCAATTTGATAGATAAGCTATTTTGTGCATTTCTGAGCCAGGAAGTTTAGGCTAATCGATACATTTGTGAGAAAGTTTTCCTAAACTGATTAGGCTAATCATCCTAATCATCAATACCAAACTATGCATGGACTACTTTAAAAGACAGCAACAACTATATTTCACAAGGATAACAATTAAGGTTCACAGTTAAGGATCGTTTCTAACAGCTGGTCCTTGGCCAATCCCGCAATATCCTCACCCATTTACAGCTGGTTTAACTAAAATAATGAGGAAAGCTCACCACTTGTTCCACATAAACAAATGTAGTCATGTAAAGAACGAACTCTCAAGCCGACCTCAAAAACTGCACCGTACATCATCTATTACATTACACAATTTCAACTAATTTCATAACCCCTATTATACATGGAAGACAAATCAAGTTACCTATTTCAATTTCAGATTCTCTCAAGAATTTGTGAATATCATAAATATCTTCTGTTAATTTATCATCTCCAAATGTAAAATAACACACATCACGTTTAGCTGCAGAGGCGGCCATTAGCTGGATTAAAGCTATGGTAAAATATAGAAAAACATTAAGTATTCGGACACTACTCAAGGTAACAATCTAAATGGTCTCATAATGAAGGTGGTCTACTAGAGGAATATTAAATCGGAACAATCACCACTATATTGCATAAAGGAGCAAAGAAATTGGACAATTTAAACTATGCCATAGATACAAGCAGTTCATCAAATTTTGGTTGAAGACATAATAATTGAAACCAGATTTATATAACTTAAAGGGAAAGGAGGTATTGGGGACACTGATATAACCTATTTGCATCATTCCACTTTTCAGTAAGACAGATGTAATTCTTGTAATAAATGGGTAAGAAAAAGTGTGTATTACATCCATAATTATACAAAATATATACAGTACTATTTAACACAATTGCAAATCACATTGAATTCAACATTGAGTTTGTTTTGATTAAACTTAATTGAAAATTAATTCACCTTTTAATTGTTTATCACCTTTGAATACCCCACATCCCCAGTTTCCAGTACAGACAGCAGGTCTACTGGGGTTTTTACTTTTATCATTTACTACTTCAAATCCAGCATATGCCTACAATAACAATGCATATGAAATTTGTGTGGTTAAAAATGATATGAAATTCTATATCCCACTTTTCTGCATCTAAGATGGTAATCACAAGCGGACAATGTCATGCAGTGTGTCATAGAGAAATTTTTCCAGGAAAGTGGCATTAGCATTTCTATTTTGATCTTCCATTGTCAAGGGATATTTAATGTGCTCAACCTGTAGCACACAAGGCCTCAATTTATTGCCCTATTTAAACTACTTGACACTTTTGTCTGTGTCAGCCTCTCTCACCTACATCACTGATATGGGGATACCTTGGTGAAAAATCAGAAGGTATTTGCTTGACCCAGGCAAGGTTTGAACTCACTGAGTCAATGTCAAGGTGGACAACATCTATTGAGAAAAATTTCATATCAATAATATGGAAGAAAATTAAAAAAGAAAAAGAAATATGTCCAAACCTTTGTCAATTCTCTTTTAACCATTCTAGATTTAAACTGATCACTGGGATAATGTATAACAAGAGCATCAATACCCACTACATCTGTATTCAACCTTCCATTGACATCTCTGTTAGAATACAATTAACATCAAATAAATTATACAAGTATGTGTAAATAAACGGTTAAAGAGACAGGTGTGCCATTCTTTTTAACCAAGCATACCTTAGTCTCAGAAACAGAAATATTTCAGTAATAGTGTCCACAGCACCATCGAAATCTGAGCCTTCAAATCCATGTATGTCCATAATTATCAACGTTTTAATGTTAAAATGACGACTGATACTCTGTGATATATAGAAAAAACATATACAGAAAGAGTGAGTAATTCCTAGTTTGAGATATTTTTAAAGGAATTATAAGATTTTCGTACATTTCAAGTACTTCTGAAGACTACTGACATATTTTCAAGACTCAAATCAATCCCCCAAAATAGCACACGTCTCTTTAAAGCGAAACAAAGTTGATCATGTGATATAAAGGCGTCTGGGATCGTGGACTTCCGCCCAAGGTATCAGACATCACTTCTAGATCTGTAGTTGATGAATAAACATGCCATGCTGTTCATTTTATTCGAACATTTATATCGAAAGCTCTGAACTGAAGTCACAATACCAGTCATGTTTGCTTGGGGCTCCACAATATCTGTGTGAATTTTTATTTTAGTTTGCCTTTACATTAGTCTGAATTTTATCAATTTTAGTTGTATTTATTTATGTAACATTTATGTTGTAGGCTTCTAACATCAGCCAGTTCTCAAAGATTTTTTTTTTATCAAAAGAGTCATTTTTTTTTTTACAAATTGTATTTGACTAGTAGCAGACAACTCAAATTGTTGCATTTTTATCAGCCTATCTGGGAATGGCAACTTGGGACACTATGTAAGTACTATCTAAACATTCACAGAAAGTTTACCTGAATCCATTATCAATATGATCTCCATCCCAAACAAAACTATCTGCATAGCCATGATAATTACTGAATCTCTCACAACCTAAAACACGAATGTTTAATAATAAGAGTTCATGTACTTAAGACAAACCATGATATTGTTTTTGCTTTTAAGAGCACTTAATATATATATATATATCTGCCATCTTGCTGTTTGACAAGCGACTGACAATAAACACTTCCTCTAAGTTTTCATGCATGCGCTGCAGAACATTTTTCGATGAAGTCGTGTACGGAGTGATGAGTTGGCATTCCATATATCATAGTTCTATGATAACACCTAAGTAGCACACATACAAGTTTCATATGGGCATATTGTTACACTGTCATGTGTAAAGGCACAAAATTCTGTACATTTAACAGTTTATAACAGATATAACTGTAATGTTGACAAGGGTCTGTTTGGATATTAAGTATAAAATCCATCAAAATCCAAAACTGGTAAGAACAAGTTGGTGTAATATAACCATTACTTTACATGATCTTTTCTATAATATCAGGCAACTCAGAGCAATGACCCAATTTTCTCATTTCCAAAATAAATCAAAAGGTAACAGAATAACAATCTTTTACCAAAAACATTTAAATTGTGATTTTGAATTACAAATTATTAACCGCTAAATCAAGAGTAGAAATTTTCAGGTACCTTTCATAATCAGAGATTCTTTATCATCTAAGGCTTCTGTGAACAGCCTGGAGATCAACATTTCAGGGCAGATTACAAATCTGATTTCTTCTTGAACACAACCATGTCCTAACACTCCTCCACCAATGAATTTATTGGCAAAATCAACCTGAATTATTCAATTTAAAATAGCAAGTTATATGTCAGTAGAAACTGTACTAAGAGACCACTCAAGGAAAAAATCCAAGACAGTCTCTTCATGGAGGTGGTCAATCAGGTGAAACCGTGGGATATTTATACAATGGAGATAATGATAACTGTTATGGTCGTTCGTTTTGATTCTATGGGAGTGTAAATACATGGTTGTTGGTCCCGTAATGAAGGTGGTCGCTTATCAATCGTTAATTATATTGAAACTTTGTAAAGTGGACTTTATTGTGGTCCCATATTGAAGATGATTGCTTGTTGAAGGTAATCGCATGAGCAGGAATTCACCGTATATAACTAAATGACCAGGACCTATTGCGGCAGAAATTATAGAGGATGTAAAGAAGTTTTTAAACTTTAATTCTAATTTTCCATCAAATTCAATTAGTGGAATTGCAAGTCCTACACACGTCTGACTGAAACTTGGAATGGTACAATTTCAATACTATCAGCATCCCCAATAACAAAAAAAGTTTCAAACAACCCTTCACAATCCCTTTTAGTTCTGCATGAGGCCAGAAAACAGGCCACATATTCTCGAAACGATCTTAGCGAATCAATGTTAGAATAGGACATCCTAGCGCTAAGATCGTTTCGAGAATAGCCAGGAGTAACATATTAAAAGATTCTAACTGTTGGTTTAATAGTGCAGTATCATTATATTTTATTATCATACCTGTAAAAGGCCGAAGCCATCATCTTCGATAGTACCTTGTGATGAAACATGTATTTGTTCAGGCACCAAAAGCTTAAAATCATCCCAGATGGGTGTATTGTCTATATATTGCCTAGTAAACGTTACAACACCACAGGGCACTGTAAACAACAAAACATGAATATATTAAAAGACAGCATACTAGGGCGGTAGTCTGTGGGTATCTTCACAAAGAATGGATTGGGAAATACACACCAGATCAAGTGCGTTCTCAAGGAAAGTTATTATCCCTTTGTTGATACAACATTAATATATGTTGCTAGCTTTAACCCTTTCAATACAAGTTGCAGCTCTATGGGCCAATAAATCATGTAGATATCTGGGCGGATGGTAAAAGAGCTATTAGCAAGCGATGGGACATGAAAACTGCCGCTCTACCATATGGTATACACCGGATCTGAAGGTAAAGCTGTTCCCATGTGACCTCACATAATTTTAACTGCATAAGCTCAGAGTCATATTACATGGAGTTCCGGGTATATGACCTTATTTCATTCACACTCAAATGCAGGGTTCAAAGGGTTAAGCTCTTTGATTCAAAGATCTAGTGAAGCCAAATAATCCATACAACTGATTCAGTTGAGGTTGGAATTTTGAATATCTATTCTATTCTGTCATTGATCAGGAGATACCCATTTTAGGTCACATTGTGTACAATATTGGTGGCAACGTTGCCAAACTTGTTCTGGCCGAATCACTTGTTGATCTGGACACATTTATATAGTTTTGATCTAATTTGACAACTTAATTGGACATATGATTGTAGAAAGTTTCCCTTCAAAATCAATTTGCAGAGATCCTGAAGCTAAAAATGAGTTGAAGACAAAATCAAGTTCATAATTTTAATATATAATATAAAAACAATTTTTCCAACTTACTTTTTGTGGTAACTCTTTCAAAATAATGAATTATGCATTTCAGCTTTTCAAATTTCTTTCTTTTTCCACCTCCCTGAAACAGGCTAAAAAAAAAATCACAATAATGCATTATGAGCAGAATTTTTAACAATTTTTCAACATCTGAGCCCAAAAAATTATAATAGAATTTCGAAAAAAGGCTGAAATTGGAAAAATTATATCATTGACATGAATTTTGTAGAAAAATAAAACGGAAAAAGAGTTGTAAGACATTTTGAATGAAAATTGGCTTGAAAGAAAAGTATAAAAAGAAATCAGATAATCCTGTATAGCCTCTTCTAAGTATTACATTTATAATCAAATTTTGGAAATAGTCAAAAAAATGTTGAAAGCAGAACTTATCCAAGATCTTAATATTAGACATAAGCCAGTAGACCTTCATGTCATAGATTCCCAAACTCTTTTCATTGTTCATTAACTTTACTCTTTTCATACAAGAAACTGTGATATTTGTACTGCAAATTCTTTCAATATTTATTTTCTACCATCAAAAAGAGTAATATTTACCCATTTAGGTTGATATCAGGATAATTAGAATATTCAGAACCTTTGTGACGAGAATTTCTTCTAGGAAAGGTACAAAGGAATGCATTAGCTAATAAACAGGCTATCTGCTGCTGACTCAGGGACACACTGTGGTTGACAAATTTTTTTAATAATGGTATTGGCTGAAGTGACAAAGTTATAAACCGCATATTTAAATGAGAATTGTAAAGTAAAGCTTTGTTGCTGATTGTGTTGCGTTTACACTGTGTTTAACTGGTTCCTGAAAATTTTAGCCTTAAATGGGATAGACCGGAAAGACCAGTACCCCCCAACTGCCAAATGAGATAAAGGTAAATATTTGAATTCCACTGAGTAAAGTGTAAGCTGACTTTAATCTAGCTATCATTACAATAAACTTCCGAACGCAAAAAAAGGTTCCTGAACCGTAACAATTCGGCAATTTGCCTAATGGAAAGACATGAAAGATAGCTCAAAGCCAGCTTTTTCCCTTAGTGGAAACACAGTTATAGATATCATAGGAATAGATAGACACAAACTGTTAGGGTGCTTAGAATTTCTGCCTAAAAAGAATTCCCTATATACTATTTAATAACAGTGATTTATTCAAGGCTTTTGTCTCCCTAAATATACTCTTCAACCATTAACTTTAAACTCTACAGTTTATAAGCCTGAAATATGAGTCTACTACAATTATTACAATAGCTAGAGGGGAAGGCCATTATTTACAACAAACTTAAAGAGATTGTAAAAAGGTTTGCTAAATTTTCTAAATTTTTCATGTGTATCGCGAACACTGATAGCATCAATTTGTACCATTCCAATTTTCTATCAAACCTCTAGGGTTCTTGCAATACTACTAAAACTAAGCGTTTTATGACATCACTAATTAACAGTCCTAATGTGATAAAGCATATTTATATCATCAAACACTTAGTTTTAGTGCAATTTCAGGAACAACAGACATCTGATTGAAAATTGGTGAGAATTGATGCTATCAGTGTTCCCGATACACATAAAAAAGTTAGAAAACCTCTTGACAATCTCTTTAAACAGACTGGCAGCACAATGCAGTATGCATTTTAATAATCTAAAATTATATAAGAAATACTCCATACCTGTGTACATAATGAGGGCAATAATAAAGCTAATCTTATTATTTCTGGTAAAGTATATTCAAAAAAATCTTCTTTTTCTTGTATTGGAAGAAACTGAAAAGAAAAGGATTTGAAATGGAACCATATTTAGATATCTCTTAGAAAGATATAGAGATTTATTATGTTTTTGCATTAGGGATAATTTAGAAAAAGGCAAAAAGTTTTGAATATAAAAAAAACAGTTCTATATCATATATATGAAATCTTTACAATACGAAATTCAAATATATCATTAATATATATATAATATAATTTTGAAGATGAAATATATCAAAATCTTACATCCAGAAAAAATTTACGAAAAGCTACAAAATCCCATCTATCTCTATAACGCTGATTATACGATAAAATGGCTTCCTGAAAAAAAAACAACAGAAAAAATATCAAAAATAAATGAAAAGATCAAAAATCTAGTTTTAGAAATATCAAATACAATATGTCACAAGAAATACACTTCAAAAACAGAAAATTTTGATTTATAGAAAACTTCAAATGATATACATTGACATTATACTCCTACTGATTCTGCAATTTCGTCTCGAAATCAGATCAAAATATGACATCGGATACGTTTTTCACATGAACTCATGTGAATTAACAAGATTTGAAATCTGATATAAAGACAAAACTCCTTATAGAAATAGAACAAAGCTAAGACATGATATCCTGTCAACAACTATTAATGTTATTTCAACAAGAATAGCATCAGAGTGTGAGGGTCATTAAGTTATATGACATTATGTGATATTATGGAGTCAGTTATGAAACATTTAACATGTCAGATCTTAATAAACTCGGGAAGGGACCCTTACCTCTAATTCAAAAGGACCTGGTATTATTGTATCTTTGTAGGCATCTTCAATCAACCTCCATCTTCTCATTAACTCTGTCCCATTCTGAAATTATTTACATTCTTGACTAATCTAGTCTGATCACAAAATGCTTTATATGTGTTTCTTGCTAATTGGACACAATATCGTCAACTACATCATCCATCATCTTTGATCTTGTGGTAAATCTCAAAGGGTACATTGAGAAAGTTTTGTATGCAATCTGTTATCATTTCGATAACATCAGCAGCTTTTATGAGAGTGGCAAGAGAATAAAACATAACAAAATATATACCAAATATTCTCTTGNCATTACATTTGATGATGACACGTGTATATTGTGTTGAAACGTTATGTACCTAACCTTATTAAAGAAGTGTTTTATATTCCATAATATTGTCTTGTGTTTTGTTATATGTGCTCCTCGCTTCTATATGTCGTTCAAATCTTAAATTACTAAACCCTTTTGAGATTTAATACTTTTGTCCAATCAGATTACTGTATGTCTTAAAATCGGTATTTTTTTAAGAATTATGCCCATGCTGTACTTTACTTGGCTAAGAAAGAAGCACAATGACATCTTCAATTTAAAAAATATCGAAGTACTAAGACTTTTGGACCACAGAAAACTGCCACTGTGTCAAGCTTGTCATGGTTATTTGTATATGAAGAAATGCAGCATTTTTATGTTTCAAATTCTAAGGCTGTACTATTTTTAGTCCAAAAAGTTGTGTAAAGAGTCTAATAGAGGGTTCATTAAGTTCAATAAATAATTCTGTATGCTCTTATACAATTCAATCAAAATTAGACTATTTCAACTTGATATTGGTATAAACCTTTTAAGACTACAATGGAGAAAAATAAAAAATGACCAAATGAAATTGTTATCCAATTTTTAATCATGTTGGCTCTTATAATACTGAAACGGGGAATGAAATATCAAAAACACAAAAAAATTGTTCAAGCTAAAATTCTTTTTAGTAATCCATAAAATTTAGATCAATACTTTGTTGTTAGTCAAATTTGAATTTCTTACTGTACACCAGAAGGCGTATTGCGTATGTTGAGAGAAGTTCATTTTCTTGTTGTGATTTGTAGTGATCTCCCTTTCCCCTTTTGCTCTCTGGTCTACAAGACGTCAATAACAATTTAAATCTTACCCTAAATGATTTACTCTGTTGATCGGTTTTACTTGGTTTAGAGTTGATATCATTCCTGAAAATAGAATTCCAATATCCTCACTGTTATAATATCAATTGTAGAGTGATATAGATTACCATTGTTAAAATAGTGCTCAATACATCAATTGTAGAGCAATATAGAAATTCTACTGTTAAAATAGTGCTCAATACATCAATTGTAGAGCGATATAGAAATACCACTGTTAAAATAGTGCTCAATACATCAATTATAGAGTGATATAGATTACCATTGTTAAAATAGTGCTCAATACATCAATTGTAGAGCGATATAGAAATAACACTGTTAAAATAGTGCTCAATACAACAATTGTAGAGCGATATAGAAATAACACTGTTAAAATAGTGCTCAATACAACAATTGTAGAGCGATATAGAAATAACACTGTTAAAATAGTGCTCAATACATCAATTGTAGAATGATATAGAAATACCACTGTTAAAATAGTGCTCAATACATCAATTATAGAGCAATATAGAAATACCACTGTTAAAATAGTGCTCAATACATCAATTGTAGAATGACATAGAAATACCACTGTTAAAATAGTGCTCAATACATCAATTATAGAGCAATATAGAAATACCACTGTTAAAATAGTGCTCAATACATCAATTGTAGAATGATATAGAAATACCACTGTTAAAATAGTGCTCAATACATCAATTATAGAGCAATATAGAAATACCACTGTTAAAATAGTGCTCAATACATCAATTATAGAGCAATATAGAAATACCACTGAAAAAAGTGCTCAATACATCAATTGTAGAATGATATAGCAATACCACTGTTAAAATAGTGCTCAACACATCAAGTGTAGAATGATATAGAAATACCACTGAAAAAAGTGCACAGAAAGTGGAGTTTTTACCCATCAATAAAGATTTGTGACCAAATTTGTGTTTTTTACATTAATCCGGTCTTTAAATCGATGTCCATTTGTTAAAATGGATCAGTTTGCAAAAACAAAGTTGAAGGGTGTTCTCCAACAAGATCATAGTCCACAAAAACTCTACTTACTCATCCTCTTTATCATTAGCTGATGATTTGTCTTTATATTTTGTGTTTTTATTTTTCACATCATGCTCTGAAATGTTTTGTTCACTGGTTGAGGATACTAGACAAAAAAAAAATACAAAATACATCAGGTTTTATCAAAATTTATTACTTCCGTCTCTTTTGTAATAGCAAGCATCCATACAGACAGCCAATCAGTAATAGTGTTCACAGCTCACGGTCAAAATGTCCAGAATTATCTGTGTTAGAAAGTGTGTTGTCTTTTTTTTGAGACGCTGAAAAATTCGAAGTATGAGATATTTTCAAAGGAATTATGCGATTTTCGTACATTTTCTCATACTCATACATACTAATTTTCTGATCTTGATTAGTCTTATGAAGACAGGCACAATGTTTAAAGCTTTAGGATGACAGAAATCAAACATAAAATCATGAAGAGAATACTAACGACTATTCTTATCAGTCTCATTACTGCACGTCTGATTCCTAAGCCTGCAAAAAAAGATAATTCAGGTCCTGCATAAAATAAAAAATAAATAAGGAATGTAGAAATGAGCCCAATACCAAATTAGAGGGTGGTGAAGTTTATTAACCTTCTGAAAATTCAATATCACTTAATATACAGTATTAGGGTGATAAGCACTGGTACAGACACCTTGCCGAGGATTTGAACCCACAGCACCTAATGACTTATCATACAACAATCAAACTCGCTACCCACTGAGCTATTCCACCTTAACTCTGGGTGTAAGATATGGGATATTGTGATGTGAACATCACATCACAAATTTACCCCAGGAATGGTTCTCCAAATGTTTTTTGTAAAAATAATCAATAACTATGGAAATCACTACACAACTATTTATAGAGAAGGCATGTCTATAATTTCTAAATCACAAATTGAAACTGACCAGAGCTCATCTCATTATGTTTTGGAAAACCAGCTCTGATAAGGACAGCTTTATTGAAAATTGGGTTCAACTTACACTCTTTTCTCTGTAGCTTTTAAAACAGTCGCTTTCTCTTCATTATTCATGTCTGAATCATTATTATAAAAATTGTCAAATATGGAAAGAAAACAATTATATCCATGTACAAATAAAATCAAAATAAAACTTAGAAAAACCACCAGGTCAGCTAGATCAAGTGACCCATGCATACTTTATTCATATTTTGGCATATCAAAAATATATATTTCAGAATAGGTAAATGCCAAGATGTCTTTATTTCTTATGATCCTGTCGCAATCAATCAAACTGTCACTGGCAAATTAAGACAACATTATGAACTTTCACAAAAAAAAAGGGTAACCATAACCATGTATATTTCAACATTATGAAACAGAAAATAGGCAGTTTTTAGAAACAGGGAAGTTAAAAATGAATCTGACACAGTTTTAGTAAAATACCTGACCCATATCTAATAATCAAACATATTGTACCCAACAGAAATTTTTGACACGTAAATTTTCACACTTATTATAATCAGAATAAAAATAACATGGCTGAGACTAACAAAACATAACAAATCTACCTGTTTTCAGTCTTTTATTTTTAGATTGAATTGCACCACACATATAGTTGTCTAATGATGTCTGTTTTAAGAGTTTTCTTTTCTTATCAGACATGATTTTACTTCAAATTTCAATATACTTGACATTATTCCAGTTCCTAGATCATCAAAAAAAACCATTTTTTTTTTCATTGATAAAGTGCTAACTTTTTTGTCTTTTGTCCAGTTAGTTATTTATGTAAGTCCTTTCTTTCAACTTCTGATACTGCTCTGTTGTTACAGATACGTGGAAAATAACGGACACAAAGATATCAGAAAATTATGTGAAAGTGACAGGAAATATCATTGGGCTAGTTTGCTAAATTGAAAGTAAAAGTAAACCTAGTTTTCGTTTCATAAACTGAGATTGAATTCTTTCGACAATGCAAATCAATAATATGTCTGAATAGCCAGGCAGCTAAATGCTACGCATGAACACCATAAATATGTTAAAATCAATCAGATTTACCGAGCTTTTCATGATATTGTGCAATTTTCTTAAAAAGAATTATTTCTGTTCAGGCATAGGCTATAGCTTGTCAATGTAAACTTCCGGTATCAAGCCTCGATCTGAAATTCTTTTCCGGTGGATCTACATCACAAGCAAAATGGTAAAGTATCAGTGGTCATAATAATCCCCTAAAATCTCTAATGGACTAATGAATCCATTAACATATGCTGTTCTATAACACTCTTGAGTTATTTTACTATCTATCTGTATTATTTAATGAACGTCCTCAAAACATTTACTAAGTAATTGCGACATGAATTCATTTCACATGGACTGGGTTGATGTCTTCACGAGATGTAAACAAATCAAAAATAAGAATTTATCAGAGGCTTGTTGCTTGTATCAGTCGTGAGTGAGATTAATTGTCAAATTCAATACAGTTTCAATCTAACCAGTGCCCCCTTCTGCATGCTATTCCCTTACTTTCAGTCAGAAAACTATCTAATCGACTAAACCGTCTTGGAGGGAGGGCACTTTCAGCACTTCCAATACCCAGCATGTAGTGGTTTGTCCCATTTTCAATTTCCACACCTCAGTGTGATGTGCAGTGGTGGCTCAGTGAAGTTAGACGCTTGCTTGCTAATCTGAAGATCCAGGATTAAATCCTGGCATAGGTTGAGATAATACCTTTGGATTTTTCAACCCGGTTTCCCCCTGTCGGTGATGAAGGTCTGAGGGGCTGACATGGAAAAGACATCTAGTCGTTCTGGTGAGACAACAAACTAACTAAAGCCTCATACGCTAAAGGCTGTTCATGTTAAAGATTCCTCTACAGTTGGAAATTGAAGGCTAATGCTGCTGTCCTGGCAAAATTTCCCTCATTGCGATGTCTGTCTTCATTAGCTGATAAGGTGCAGACAAAAAATGAGACATTTACTTAACTATTCTTTGTAAATTTTGTTTTGCAGAGTGAGACCACGTCTGCCACAATCCGAACAAGGAAATATTTGACCAACCGATTACTATGCAGAAAACAAATGGTATGTAAATGTCTGATATTACTGGTATTCCAGGTCCTTTTATGACAGGCAGCTGAAGCATTTGTAGAATCTGGTGAACTCTTGTCAATTCCCCTGACAAAATTTCACATTAAACACTGAAATGGTAATGTTCAAGTTATGACTTGAAGTCCTGGTCATAAGCAGGATTATTGTATCAGAATTATATTCCTTTTGCTGTTACTCCCAATTCATTTCTTGAAAAAAACAGAACAGTTTGATACTGATAGATTACCATTAATACCTATTTGGATTGGACAAAAAGAATAAAAAAAGGGTAAGCTAATGCTATTTTCCTGTTAAAACACTGCAATCAGATGTAGAAAATTAAGATGTAACCTTCTTTTCGTTTTCTTTTTATTTGCAGGTTGTAGATATCATTCATCCTGGTAAGGCCACTGTACCCAAAACAGAAGTCCGAGAAAAATTAGCAAGAATGTTTAAAACTACCCCAGATGTAATTACCTGCTTCGGGTTCAAAACGAAATTCGGAGGTGGCAAAACATCTGGGTTTGCCCTTATCTATGATAATATGAATGTAGCCAAAAAATTTGAACCTAAATACAGATTAGTTAGGGTAAGAACCTTGTTTTTTTTTCTTGGAACTGCATTAGTATAGCATGCATATTGAGTTGATCCCAAAGATAAACTAAGATTCTCTGTACACTAGAGTTGATATTGTGATTTGTACAAAAATTAAATGAATGATGAATGCGATTATGTAAATATTTTGGTGAGAAAGTGATCACTAAATATTTCTTGAGCATGGAAAGAACTGATGTCTTTCAAAGAGGCAAACCCCATCCTTCGAGAGCTATCAAGAGTACTCTACTTCTAGCACATGATGCTTTTGAAGTGTTATAGATTCTCCAAGCTTAAAGACTCTATATATATATATTGCTTGTTTTGATTTGCAGCAAGGAGCTACAGCAATTAAAAGACCAGGTAGAAAACAGCGTAAAGAAAGGAAAAACAGACAAAAGAAAGTACGAGGTACAGCTAAAGCAAAGGTTGGAGCATCTAAAGATAAAAAAGTTAGTATTTTTCTGTCGTTTGGTTTCATAGACTTCTCCATCTTACTGTCGATACCCTGACTATGACCTTGACCTTTGTAAGGCCGTTTCATTTTTGTTGCCTTGCTTCATGATTGAATATACACTATGACTAGCACCACTTTGTACAGCCTTGCCATGGTCTTGCTGGTTTCATATTTTGGTATATGCAAATGTTACCAATTTATGGAACCAAGAATTTAAAAATTGTTGAAGGTTTTCTGAAATTATTAATCTTGATTGCCAACAAGTTGATATAATGTTAAATCATTTATTCAAAATTCAGAAAAAAGATTAGAGGTATGCCAAATTGTTCATGAAAGTTTAGCATCTGGCTAAATTCGTTGTTGATATGTTAACTGAGTTAAAATTTTCAAATTCAATTTGTATTATTTGATTATTTCATTTGTATAGTCTCAAATAATTCCCAACAGTTCTATTCTGCATTTTGTAGTCATCATTGTTTTAATTAATTTAAAAAGATTACACTTAAAGTAATAATAAGACATAACATGGAGGTATGGAGGCTGTTTTTGAAAAATGAAATTATTTAATGAATCGTAAAAGCGTATAGAATTCTTTGAGACTATTTAAATGATTTATGTTTAATGAAATTGTTAGCCTATTGTAGGCCGATATTCTCATGTTAATTGATTTATTTTAAGTATTTAATTAGTGTTTTTTATACGCCTGCGTGAGAATGGCGGAGTATATTACCGTTGTCCCTGTCAGTCGATCTGTGCTATATTGACTGATGGAATGTTGGATTAAGAAAATCTGCTTTATGCTACAGAATGTTGAAAACTTGGTCTGCTCTAGCTACAGCAAGATATAAGCAAGATAATATACAATTTAATAACATGTTGATACATTCAATAAACAGCTATCACAAAATGTTTGGAATTTGCTTATGGACCTTAAGAAAAAAAGATATCAGACTTCACTATTGCTAATTGGACCATGTTCTTGAACACATGATTCATTTCTAATAAAATTTATTTTTTCTTTTCAGTAAATGGATTGCCCTGACCTCTGATTCTTATTTAATAAATTTGATTTGGAGGAATTTTTGTCTTGTTTTTTTTCTCTCTTACCTCTTGAGTATATATGGAATACATTCTTGATACACCAAGGAATTGTTCAATTTATAAGAAAAGGATCCAGTACATTGAGAAACAACAGTTTTATAGATAAAAACTTTTATTTTATATTTAAGCATGTTTCATTACGCATACAGGTTAAATTCTCAAGTGATAAATCATCACATTAAGTGTTTTATATAATGAAAAGTGTTTAGAAATAAATAGAAGTTTATATCCATAAAACTGATGTTTCTTAATGTGCTGTGATACTTCTAAAAGTCTTAAGAGGATTATAAAGGGTCCAGTGTGTGTCTAAAAAGACCTTTCCTCCAGTGTGAAATTTTACAGGAGTACTGTCCTAACACAAGATTTTTGGAGAAGAAATCTTTAGTCTGTCTCCAGAGTACTTTTCTTGCACCAACTCAGTCCCTTAATTAGTCTGTAAACCAAGGTTGATCAAGACACTTCCCACATTTCTGCCCTTGTTTAGACCAATTGGGAGCAACGCTATGCAGTGTGTAATGAGAGAACTTTTCTCTGGCCTACTATTTAGGGGTTTGCTTAATATGCATAGCCTTGTTATATTGTTCCATTGAACAATGACAAGACATCTTTTCAATGTCGGTCCCTTTGACTTGCATTGCGTCCCTTTGACTTGCATTGCGTCACTTTGACTTGCATTGCTGACAAGGCGGAAACTTGTTAAAAAAATACAGAATCACAACACATGCTTGGACAGAATGCTGACATTCAGATTAGCGAGCATGTGTTATACTCATTGACCAGCCACTGCTTCAAGACACTAAAGTGACCTGAAACATATGTCCACACTAATGCTCAATCAGGATGAGGAAAGTATAAATTGGAATGGATGTGCCAGTCATGTATCGGACACTCCTTATTTTTCTATTGAACTCTTCCAGACATGCATACTTCTATGGGTATGAAACTGTGTGGAAGAGCTCATTTGTAGGATTAGGGATATCCATCAAATTATATCCAGCTATTATAGTCTGATTTGTATTTTGTTTTGCCTGTCTCCTGGATTTGATTTAAAACAAACACAAAATCAAATGAATACAAATTGCGAGTTACATATACTTTTAATACTTATTTCACCTAAAATCAGAATAGACTGCTCTTGTGTATGATTTGAAATCGACCTGGATGTGCATAAATATTTTAGCTCAAAACTTATGCTAAAATTTTGTATAAGATTATTCTATTCAATGAGAAAATTTCAAGGTGAAAGATGATTGAGTAAATTTTGAATTAACTGTGGTCTACAAAAGTTGTGTCCCTTTATTGACTCTTCAATTTAGAAACCACAGATAATAGACACGTTGCAAAATAAACGTAAACATACACTGCATAAACTTGCCATTAGCTGTTATAAGGTAAATAAATACCGTTATTAATTAAAACGCGTATTAACACTCACACAATCAATGGATGCTGCACACAACCTGTGACCATGTGTCACTGCCAAAGATTTATGTGAGAGAGAATTAAAGAAAGCCTGGTAGTGCAGCGCAGGTTCTTTGGAGAAAGTGCCGCAAACTAAGTGCGTCGTAGGCCCAAGTGTAAGGAAGTTAAACAAGTTTATTCTGGCATTGTACGATCTGAAGACATTCTAACCATTCAAGCCCTTGACAAACTTATCTATCTATCTACCAAAAACTGGACTGTCTTCTGTAATAAAGATTAAATGTCTGGGCCTTAACATTGTAGATATCATAGAACTATAATAATGATGATATCTTTCATGTCTTAGTTGGCCTAGTAAATCTAATGCTGACAGGATATATTGGTAAATCTATGCATCCCAATACCACATGCGACAATATACGCCTCGTATTGCCTCGCCCCATCGTGTGTTGATGCTAAACAAAGCTGGGCATAAAGTGTTATTTCTATTTATCCCATATCATGTTAGGTACCGTATCTCTTTTATCGTGAAATATTGACAATTATTAGGAAGTGGGTAGAGCAAGAAGGGACAGAGATATCCGTCTAATGACAAATACCTTTAACTATTAAAATTTTTCTAATTTTAGAAACTGGGTCAGAACAGATGGTTGTCACTATTAGAATTATAAATGTTTAAATTGTAATGTAGAAAGTGAGACAAGAGAATCAATCAAAATGGCTCAAAACTGGCCATATGTCATCAACCTTAGTAACAGTATTATTGGTATTTCTACACTGGCTATGCCATTTTGTTTTAAACAGGTATTTCTGTTATTTATTGTACCACCATTTTGTTTTAAACAGGTATTTGTTCTATTTATTGTACCAGTATTTAAGATATTCAGCATTAGTTTAGGTTCATTGACCAGTGAAATGAAATGAAATGAATAATATAGTTTTACGTCCTACTCTGCTGCACTCATTGACCAGTGAGAGACCAAAGAGAATCGCGTTATATTTTGATAATGATATTTCTTGTCCTGTAAGGGTAACAAAGCATGCTCAAACTTCCTGAGCACCTGGTGCCACTTTATAACTCGGCTTTTCAACTTTCAGAGAGTTCACATAGCTGATCTTGTTCATCAGATATATTTGTAATTGCAATGCCAGTGTTTTGTAAATGTATGTATGACTTCATCTCCAAAATTCTTGATCTTTTGACATTTTCTCTCTGTTATTTCAGTGTGGAATTCTACTAGGTATTTTACTGTTATTATTAAGTACATGGTTAACACTGGTATCATGTCAGATTTTAATGAAGGCAGGAGTTACCTCCAGAAGGAGCTCGTATGGATTTTTAGCGTATTATACTTACGGTGTGTCTGGTAAACTGGCTGTTGAATTAGGGTGAGTTATTGACTAAAATACACTGGTTTGCTCACTATGTAGCACTTTATAATAATACAAAAAAGAGGGGTTTTAGAAAGTTTTGGTCTGAACACAATCTAAAGGAAAGTCTTGTCAGATCATGGATGGCAAGTAGAGTCATCTGTAGAAAAGACATGAAATGAAAAATCCATATTATTTGCTTTAAGTTATTTGTATTACCTCTTCTCTTTTTCAGTATGATAGGTTTACAGATAGGTACATTAATAGCTCAAATTGTTGTTATTGGAGATTTTGGACCAATTATATTAGCCAAGATATTTGGAATTCCTGTAAGTTCATCCTACATCTTCTATCATTGAAATTTGAGACATTATGACTTTTGTGAATTCCCTCATCATATTTTGGGGAAGCCATGGTGACTCAGAGAGTTAGACGCATGCTCCCTAACCCGAAGCTCAAGATAATACCTTGGTTTTTTAAATTGGTTTCCCCCTGACAGTAATGCTTATTGAAGGGGCCTTCATGGAAAAAGCATTAAATTGTTTTGATGGGACAATAACCCAAAGCTGAGAGTGCTACAGTCTGTGTACGTTACAGATCCCTAGACAGTTAGAAAATCGATTCAAGATTGAGATTGAGATGTCCTGTTTGCAAAATGTCAAGTCCTGAAAGAAGCAACCCTTGTATTGAATATATGTTGTTTTTTGTATGTATTAAATTATCAAATTTTCTTATATAGACTTGATAAGCCTATTGATAAGATGCAGAAAGTAAGATGTAAAACTCGTTTAATTTTGTATTGTAGAGTTCTAGTAATCTGCGTACCGGATTAATAATGTTTCTATGTTTAGGGGTAGGATTACCTCTAGGATTATTAAAAGATTTAAGAGCTGTTAGCCGAGCCAGTACTATTTGTGTGTGTTTTTATGTTGTATTTATCTTATATGTAAGTACTTATTTACTTATTCAAAAAATAAATTGAAATGAATAATACAAATAAAACATGGACCCTCAGAAAGGAACTTTTGACTCAACAAATCCAGTCACACAGTGACTTCAAATGTTCAGTAGAGTGACAAGTGAAATTGTAACAAACACTTGTTTGATGCAATTTGATGTGTTTTTCCAGTAGTCCTTAAGAACATAATGATGGGCACTTATTATAAAGCCCTGGTTCCCAACCTGGGGTGTTTTCACTCCCTTGGGGGGTGTGGGGCTAGGGTGTCAGGGGTGTGGCCAACTGGTGTAGGAGAAGAATTTGTTTTGAAGAATCACTTTAACAAGAATCACCTGTTTCCATGTGATTGAGCCAAATATTGGATTTTCAAGTCACTTTGACAATCTTGATATGACTAGTCATAGATATTTCCTTTATAAATATTTTACTATTCTTGTAATATTTCAGGTATTGGGTTTATCTGCCCCTAATTTATTAACTGGTGCCTGGTATCCTAAAGTTCATTTTTGGAAAGCAGATGGACTGTTTGAAACTTTGCCTATTTTTTCATTTTCATTCGGTTGTCAAACGTAAGTAAGCTGCCGATATATGCTGTATATGCGATATATATAGTTTTGTTTCTCTATTTTGCTGACATGAAAAAAGTGTATAGGATGAGACAATAAACCAGGCTCTATGTGCTACAGACTGTGCAGGTTAAAGATCCCAAGACAATTGGAAATCGAAAAAGCTTGGTCTGTCTATATTAGCCTAAAAGATGCAGAAAAGTAGGCAGTAAAATTTCATTCATTTTACTTCATATCAGTTTTTGCTTGCAAACTACTAATTTACACTGAGTAAGGCCTTTATATATTTTTACACACATATCCTAAAGAAACAGAAAACGATGAACTTCATTCACATTTATATATATACTCTATTATTTCAGAATTTTTTAATATGTAATTAATATTCCTTTATAATTTAATTTCATTATTTTATAAAAATCACGTTGATGTAGCTGAATTTTCACCTCGGCCTGTGCTTTCGTAACTTCAATTATATGTTGTTGTTACAGCCACTCTTACCTAAATAATATGTAACATTATGTTAATATTATATTGTAGGCAGTTGTTTATATTATATGATGCCCTACCAGAACCTTCATTAAAAACAGTCAATGGTATTACTAGTAGTGCAATAAATCTCTGTGCTGTGGCTTATTTATTGGTATGTTCTTTTTTTAATTTATTTCAAAGCTTGTCATATAGAAATTGTTTCTTGATAACATGACAAATTGTGGGATAGGGAAACCCAAAGTAGAGCAATATGGCTGCCCCATAGCCTTTTTTGTATCATGTGTTCATGAAACCAGAGTATCATTTTCTGGTCTTACACCAAATTTATTTCTAGTAAATATTAACAATTTGGTTGATTATCCATATGAAGTTTACAACATATTGGCAGGATTTTAACCAAAATATCATTTGGTGTTGTCAGACCACAATCATTTCAGTGGTGGGTCCGCCGTCCACAAATGCTATTGCAGACACAATTTTTGATGGATTTTGACAATCATTTCGCCAATTCAACAATTTCTTTATTTTAGCACATAACTGATAATATATTTCAGATGGGATTTTTTGGTTACATTGCCTTTCATGAAGATGTGATCACTGGAGACATCATTAAGCTGTTTCCTAATACATTATTTGCTGACATAATGAAGCTAGGATTTGTGATATCTACAGCCATTACCATTCCTTTGATAATTTTCCCTTGTAGAGTCAGTTTATATAACTTGCTCTTCTCACAAGTAAGGGTACATATCATTTTTCTGCTTTATTAACAAAAGCGCCATTCACATGGACAAAATTACTCATGTAAAGGTGCCCTCACTTCAGAGCATTGGCCAGTTGGGTATGGTTGCGAATAATGAATTGGAGTTGTATTCAAATTTGATGACCTGAGAATGGTTGGTCTTACTCACAACCAAATGCAACTGGTGATCGCTATGGTGTGAGGGCCACTTATGCAAATTTACTCCTGGAGTAAATTTATTTATATATGTGTTTATACTCACATAAGTAAATATGTCCATGCGAGTGGGGCTTTACACTGTGCATGTTTTATTTGTGTGTATCTGTTTTGTTTCCCTCTGTTGATATACCCAGTTTGATACTGTTATTCTAGAAATTGTGTTTAATTATGTACAAACAAATTCCAAACCAAAGGTATGAAGGTATCTGTGTAAATTTAGATCTATAGGTGATATAACATGTATTCTATCCTATTCCTTCCCAAATTCCATATTAACTTCAAAATACCTCAACCTCTGTGATCCTATAAGAAAGTGGAAAGAAAAGATACTAAACAATCATTTACTACAACCAATAACAGCTTAGGTTCATGTGGATCCTGTCTGCTGCGAGTCCTTAACCAAAAACTCTTGGTATTGATAGTTCCTGAATTATTCATACCCATTGACAACTGGGTCGACTAGAATAATGAGGAAAGATGACTTATTCAAGGTCACCAGACTTTTACATGCCGATTGAGATTAGAACTCACAACCTCCATTTGTTTGACGTAACCAAGAAAATGCTCTTACTAACTATGCTACAGATCCCTCAAATTTCATTAACCATTATTGTAGACTCTAATAGACCAGGACATGGAATCAGCTGAATCTATGGTGGTAAGTTATGATGGTGTGTAGTCTTGGTTAGTTTCAACGCATTTATCTCCCTTTTCTGTAGGAAAATGAGAAATTAAACTAATATCTTGCTTTTCTGCACCTTATTGGGTAAATATATCATGGTAATCCCAGACATAAAGTAAAGACAGAAATATTTCGAGACTGATTACTTTTGTTTTGTGTCTTGAGGATCCTTACCTGCACCTGAAGCCTTAGTTATTTGTCCCTTCTAAAACTAAGATGGTATGTCTATTCACCTCTTACAAGTAAAAGTATTATATACCACTATCGCATAGCGTGAAACTCTGCCTAAGTAAAATTCTTTAAACAAACAATCTGAACTTGTCTCGACATGCAGATATGAGAATAAGTTCCACTTGTCCAACTTCAGTGGGGACGCAGGCTGAAAATAGGCCAGTATCGCGAAACGTGAGAAACAACATGATTCAAGTTTTGTTTTAATATTTCTACCACTAGTAAGATGTTTTAACAGAATTTCCAGTGAACTAAAGACAGTATGATATGAACAATGGCAAGGTTATATGAGTCTTACCTAACTGATCACCTCTATGTTTTTGTGTATTTTTGGGTTATGTTCTGTTTATTGAAGATTACTATCAAATGTGTTGCTTTTATTAATTCGTTGTGTGTGATTGTGAAAGTGTTTTATGAATGGAATTCATTATTAGTGAAAATTGACACAGTTAGAATTATAACAAATTTTGATCACCAATTTGTCTCAAGATTAGACACAAGAATATAATTTCATGTAGTGTATTATAACATCCCCTTATCCATGGTAGAACTCTGATTGGTTAGTTCTGATCAAATTCTGTCTGTTCCCATTCTGGCCTCAATCGATCGGTATGGAAGTGGATGTGTCACATTTAAAATTTTCCCATCTATTTCATTCTTTGCCATTTTGGATTCTGTCTGCACCTATTATTTTTTTTGAGCAAGTGAAGCAAGTTCTGAACTCTGATCCAACTTGCTAACTTGTTTTATTGAGTGTCTGGTTGATTCCATGAATCGCGAACATGCAGAACTCATGATGAGAGTCTCATTGATACTTAGGACCATTCGATATACTAGGAGCTTTGGTATGGGAAAAACTCAAATCAGTAACCTGAACTTCAAATTCTACTTATAGCATTTGCCTCCTACACTATTTTTTCTGAATTCCGATTTTTATTTCTATTTTTTCAGCATAAAGCCAAAGTTCATGAAGATGATATTCCTCAACAGATCCATATTCCAGAAATCCATTTTAAAGTTTTAACTTTATTAATTGTATTAGGACCTATGATAGTTGGAATTCTAGTTCCCAATGGTAAGATAGTATTTTTTATCCCTTACCCTCTTTTTTTTTATTGACGTATCTAAGTTAGGTTAATTCTATCTCTAGATAATCATTTAAGATGGATTTCCTTATTTTTTAGCGTCAAATTAAGCAAACTGTGTGATTAATTGGTGTTTCTAATAAATTATCATGTATTCTTAATCACATCATTATGTTCTTATTGCATCTAATTAAAAGTTTTAATCAATACTAAATGTCCATTGTTGTATATTACTTTTTGACTTTTCATTACTAAATGCTATTTTTATTATTGAAATTTTTATATTTTAATAAGATTTTTGAAATATTGTATATACTTCTATATACCTTGGTACTGTAATGTTAATTGGTATAGGTAATTATTAGTTATTTTAGCTTTTTATACATGTATAATACAAAAAATCCTGAATTGTTTCAGTTGAATTTATTTTGGGATTCAATGGAGCCACAATGGGAACATTAATGTGTTTTGTATTTCCTGCCATGTTTTTTCTGAAAGTCAATAAAGGTGAATCAAGAGGAATTGCTCAGGTATTTTATATTTTCTTCTTAAATCTATCATAAACTCAGGGTCAGTTGTCTGAAGCGTGAAACTCTGAGTCACAACATTGTTCAAGTTCTGTTTTAATATTTATATATCGCTTTACTGTTGATGTATTGAGCAGTATTGTGCACTATTTAACAGTGTAATGTTTTATTTTATTATTCTACATTCTATTATAGATTGTGTTAGTCTGTGGTCTAACTATAATGTTAGTTAGTACCTTCGCCATTCTAACATCCAAGAAACATGAACATGGTGCTAATGGTGAAGTTAAAGATACTGTAAAACAAATAGTAGAAGATTTAAATCTACCTGAGATAAAGATAGAAAATACACAAAAAAAAGGTAATTGTTATGGTATTCTGAAAAATTTAAATTATGTAATTATGAATTCCTGCATTGAAGTTATACCCTACTTGTCAAGTATTGATCCCATGCTTGTATCAGACACACTGTGTGTTTTGGTTATAAAATCCTCATCAAGACACACTGAATAATGACTTCATGTTGCTTTGCAGGTGAGGTTGATCAAGATGATAAGAGAAAGGAACCAGTTGAACCTTTAGCACCAGATGATGACAAGGTAAATCTGTTTATGATTATGTCCTCATACATGATTAAAATCATCTTCACAATGTCAAGCTATAACAAAGTTTGTCTTTTGACTGCAATAGCCATCTTTCTTGTATCACAAAAGTTTGTAAATGCAGTGATTTGATTGGATTGTACGCTAGCGATACAGTCAATAGGCGCTCTTGACAGAAAGTCTGTAAACAGAAAGCCATAATGTTTAACTCTTTTTGCCTAATGCTCTGATTGGCTGTTTTTGTTGGTATACAAATTACACTCCAATCATATCGCTGCATTCCTTGATACAAGAGATGTAATAGTGGTTTGAAATTGTGAAAATGGATTAAAATATATATTACTATTTATTTTTTGAATATTTCCTGAAATAAAACTAACGTGAGATATGAAGTAGGTATGACCAAAAATGAGGCTTGGTATGCTTCGAAATCTAATTCCACTTATAGTTAAAAATATAAAAAAGATGTTGCAGTTTTAAATGTAATTTTAATCTCACAGTACACTTTAAGCATCTTAAATAGTCTAATAGGTTGCAGCAAAATTTGAAATGAAATCCATCCATTTATTCATTCCAATCACTTGTCTTCCAGCCTGTTGATAAAGAAAAACCAGAAAAAAAGGTAATAGTCAAGAAAAGGGAGGATAAAGGAAACGATGAAGTCGTTCAAGAGAAAGAGGCTGCAGTCAAGGAAGTGGAAGGAGAAAAGAAGAATGATGGAATTGAAGAGAAATTGATTGAAAAAGAGAAGGAAATGGAGAAAGCTGAAATCAAACAAAAAGATTTACTGAAGAAATTGGAAAAACAGCAGGAAGAATCTAAAAAAATATTAGAAGCCCAGAAAGAATTAATGGAAGAATTGAAACAACATAAAGATGAACATGAGGAAAAGGTAAGAAAATGTTGACCCTTTCTCGTTAACCACTAGCGTTGGGCTCGATTCCACAGATGGAGATGCTGCCTTTGGCTTTCACTTACTGAATACTTGTGAATGTAGTGCACACGACTTCTTCTCTGCTGCAGGTTGGAGTTGTTGGCAACAAAATTGATTATTAGTTTGCCATCGAGGATAAACACAGGCTCTGTGGTGTATGTTTAAGATTCTTCAACTGTTTGAAGTTTTAGAAAATAAGAGGCTAATCCTCAGGCAAAAGTTTCTCTATTTATGCACATCAAATAGTTAACAGAGAGTGTAGACTCTCTAAAAACCCAGTCTTGGGATTGAAAGAAGGAAAAACCTTTTATATCTATCCAAGGCATTTAGTAATTGATCAATATAAGGAAAACAAACTTTATGGACAACAATTACTACATTTATTGACTGCGACGTTTCATTGAGTGTTCTCTCATCGTTATCAAGCAAATAATACAATCTTAAACATTAGGCAAAAAAACTTTTATTTAGATTTCTTTATGATTTTATTTTAGGTTGAAAAACAGATAGATGCTGCCCAAAATCCTGTTTTAAATAATGCTGGAGCTCAGAATCCTGTTTTGAATAATGCTGGAGCACAGAATTTGAATAATGCTGGAGCACAGAATTTGAATAATGCTGGAGCACAGAATTTGAATAATGCTGGAGCTCAAAATCCTGTTGTGAATAATGCTGGAGCACAGAATCCGGGTTTGAATAATGCTGGAGCACAGAATCTGAATAATGCTGGAGCTCAAAATCCTGTTGTGAATAATGCTGGAGCTCAGAATCCTGTTTTGAATAATGCTGGAGCTCTGAATCCTGTTTTGAATAATGCTGGAGCCCAAAATCCTGTTGTGAATAATGCTGGAGTTCAGAGTCCTGTCCTGAATAATGCTGGAGCCCAAAATCCTGTTTTAAATAATGCTGGAGTTCAAAATCCTGTTGTGAATAATGCTGGAGCACAGAATCCTGTTTTGAATAATGCTGGAGCACAGAATCCTGTTTTGAATAATGCTGGAGCACAGAACCCTATCCTGAATAATGCTGGAGCACAGAATTTGAATAATGCTGGAGCACAGAATCCTGTTTTGAATAACGTTGGAGCACAGAATTTGAATAATGATGGAGCACAGAATCCTGTTTTGAATAACGCTGGAGCACAGAATTTGAATAACGCTGGAGCACAGAATGCTGTTTTAAATAATGCTGGAGCACAGAATCTTGGTTTGAATAATGCTGGAGCACAGAATTTGAATAATGCTGGAGCACAGAATGCTGTTTTGAATAATGCTGGAGCACAGAATCCTGGTTTGAATAATGCTGGAGCACAGAATTTGAATAATGCTGGAGCACAGAATCTTGTTTTAAATAATGCTGGAGCTCAGAATCCTGGAGCACAGAATTTGAATAATGCTGGAGCACAGAATCCTGGTTTGAATAATGCTGGAGCCCAAAATTCTGTTTTGAATAATGCTGGAGCTCAAAATCCTGCCCTGAATAATGCTGGAGCCCAAAATCCTGTTTTGAATAATGCTGGAGCTCAAAATCCTGTCCTGAATAATGCTGGAGCTCAAAATCCTGTCCTGAATAATGCTGGAGCTCAAAATCCTGTCCTGAATAATGCTGGAGCTCTGAATCCTGTTTTGAACCAGAATCCGGTTGTGAATAATGCTGGAGCAAAGAATCCGGTTGTGAATAATGCTGGCGCTGAAAATCTTTTGGCAAATAATGCTGGTTTAAAAAATATTGGTGTAAATCAAATGGTTCAAAATCCAGTCAAAGATGTGAACTATATTCAAAATCAAAAAATTGTTCCGAATGACAACCAGGTTTTGAAAAATAGTGAGAATTCTCAAAAACAATATAAACGTGCGGTCGTAGAATCACCTGTTGATAGTGACTTAAAGAATGTGGAGATGCGACGCAAGCTGCGTAGTTTAGGTGAAAATGATGTTCGAGTGCTTTCAAGAACTTTAATGGAAGTCAAAATTTCAGAGGAAAAAAATAAAACGTGATTTTTAATTCACAGATTTCCAGCCTTTAGAGGAGACTCCAATTTTTAGACTTTAGTTCAGTATAAACTGACTCTACTTACTGTATCTGTGAAGATTTAAGAATTAAACATTGGTCTCATTATTGGGGGTATCAACACAATTCATCACATGACAAATTCAAAAAATTTGCAAGTCGTTAATTTATGTTTAAGTGATTTGCAGTGACACACCTACCAGTACAATGCTATTGAGACCAACATTTAATTAGTTCTTTTATTATAAATTCAAATATTTCCATCATCACAAACTTTGAGATGTATTCATACCTCATATTATCATGCGACAAACTTCAATATATCAAAAAATAAACGTTGATTGACATAACGGGTTTAAGAGGAGATACATATTAGAAATGTAAATATTGTTATATAAACCCAACGTTCAGTTTACTTGGGTAATTTGTATGATCATGCGACAAACTTCAATATATCAAAAAATAAACGTTGATTGATATAACGGGTTTAAGAGGAGATACATATTAGAAATGTAAATATTGTTATATAAACCCAACGTTCAGTTTACTTGGGTAATTTGTATGATACTCAAGGCATATACAGCTTTGACTCAAACACATATTTTATTGTTAACTTGGCTTAAATGTTTACAGCTTGGATACTTTGTATTATCTTGAGACAGAAGAAATATTGTTTTAAATTGAGTTCAAATTTTTGTGACCAGCCGTTTCAACTGATAGCTTTAATATTGTGGAAATACAATAACTCCTGTTGTACACATAATCTTGTAAATTTTCTTGTATGTCACAAACTCCCTTTTCAGCATTCTGTTTTTCTTTCATATTTGAAGTCCTAAAGTATGATTTGTTGGCATCAAATATCAAAGTTGTTATATTGGTTTATTTAGTTTATTAGAAGTGAATGGAGTAAGGTTATGTGGTATTATCTGGACATTATGCTTATCAAAACTTTATAGTTGTATGAACTGGCCAATAACTATCGTTCTAAGAAGGCAGAACCGGCCAGAAATTTATTAATCTATTTTCAAAAAATGTTGTCTGGGCAAATATTAAATTCTGTACCTATGAGACAATTATATTTGTGTAAGTTTTGATTTCTCAAAGGAATGAGCGTTTCTGTCTTGTTTTATACAATTTTTATCATTTTATTATGTTTAAAGTCAGTCTTTGAGATCAAAGATGCAAGAATTTGAATTTGCCATCATGAATGAGTTGTTATTCGTTGTTATTTGCAGATAATTGATTGAAAAGTGATTTCAATTTATTATTCAAGGTATCTGATTGGTCAATCACTAAAATAGAATATAAATCAAGCTTTAATAATGGATCAGAAAGTTATTCTGAATGCCTTTATTTCATTTTTTGAAAAAAAGGACGATCATTCCTCATATTGAGCATATTTCATATTATACTGTCTGTGAAGGACTTACTTTATTGTTGTTGACTGGCTCTGTAATTATTTTCTTTTAATCATAAATTACTGTTTAATATTGTTCATTGTATAATTTTGTTTTGTAATATAAAGTGATTCATCATTAATTTTTCAGTGAAGCAAAGATATTTGTGCACATTCGAGTCTGGATTCAAAACATACATTAGCAGTCTATTGTATGCAAGCTGGCAACACCTTAGTGTGTGCAATGGGGTAAATTTTGCCAGGACAACCAGTGAACAATTTGCTGCATCAAATTAAGAGCAGTAATTCCAATGCCCCTAGATGGAATATCATTAACCTAAAAAAAAGGTTTTGCTCATACTTCACTGAAAGACTTGTAACAAATTGAACTCATAAGTTATACAAGAGCAAAAGCGTTTTTCGAATTATTCCACCCTCAAGGGCAAATTTTTTCTGAAGCCATGAAATTATCAATTGGCCCAGTTTTGATTCATGAAAACCTAACACAGTGAGTACAGTCTGTGAACTTGGCATCAGAGTATTAGGACAAAGATATCCTGTGTATTCCAACACTAATATGTTGTATATAAATAAGCAGTTATGATTCGGATTTCTGAAAGCTGTCTAATAATGAGCAGATTAACCATCAGTCAAATCAAATTTGCATTTAAAATTACAGTTTCAAGCCAAGATCTAAATCTTAAAATGCTGGGGAAGCACAGATGGACAAAAAACAATAATTGTTCACAGTATTTATTTTAAATAACTCTTCTTTCTTTTACTAATGTTTCATTTCAAATAAGAATTCCATCCTAAACAAGCTATGTTCTTTACCAATGGTAGAAAGACTTTCTGTGTGTTGCTGAAATTGACAAATGAACAATTTCAGACATTTGATTACACTTTGATCTGTTCATCTATTCTGAATAGGATGGGGAATGCCCAATTTCAAAGTATTATGAAGTCTTTAAGAATTAGACACTTGTATATCATTTCCAGAACATAAATAAATTCCATCCTTTAAAAACTTTCATTCACAACTCAGCTGAGAACTAGTAGTAACATGCACTGCCATGTCGTATTCCGTCTTTCTGTCAACCGCTCTGATTGGCTGTAGTTGCTAGCGTAGAATCCAATCAGATCAAAAACCTTTATCCATGATACAAGAATAGTGTCTTGTTTGCCAATAAGACGAAGTTCATAATACCTTTTTATTGTGAAGATGGGAATGGCCAAGTATAAGTAACTTGCTAATTTGTGACAATTACAAACTTTATCACATTAATGAATTCCAAACTTTCTGCACAATATTGAAGGTGTTCATCATAAAAAAGGTTTGATCCAGGATGCAAGAGATAGGCACATAAATTACGTAAAAAAGAAAGCCACAATTTCTTACCATGTAACACTTTGAAACTCAAATAGTAACAACTGAAATACCAGAACAGTAGCAAGTGCATAATGGGGGCTGGTGATGCTTTCAATGGGAACCACCAGTGATGTCTATATCTAGCAACAGCTGTAATATAAAGTAGCCTACATGTATCAGGGATGCCAGTAAAGAATAACAAAAATAGAGGAAATCAGTAGAATCACAGGCTCCCATGTGGAGATTTTATCATTCTGATCCTTTATAAAAAAACTTTTCATCCCTCAAACCAAATTTTTAGTGTTTTTCTTTGGAAATAAAAGTTGTTGCCTGGCAAGATACGCCCACTACCCTGATAAATTTTCAGTATATCAAAGGCAGTTGCCAATCTGTATCAAATTGTACCAAAAATCTAATTTGTACACTATACACACAAAATTTCATAAAATTTGGACATGAACTTCCAACAAATTTTGATGCATTTTTACTAAGTCAAGGGCAATGACTCAAGAACCGTTCGACGACAAATCTTCAAATTTGAACTTGACCAAGATCTCATGAATATAAATGATCACACCAAATTTGATTAAAATCAGATAAAAACTGTAGACTCGATTGTGTTCACAAGTAGGGTAAGGACAGGGGTGACAATGTGGGAGTATAAAAATACCAGAAAATACAGGAATTTCTGTATTGGACCAAATTTGGGGCCATTTTGGTTAGGTGCCAAGTTGACTATAACCCAGATATTACACTGCATAATGTCACATTACAGCAAGCTCAAGTATATCGTAAATCCCATTTCATCATTTTTGTTCTTCAGTGATTATCAGGACTTGTACTTACTTCGAGTTACTCCTCCCCAAAGAGCAAAAGGTGTGTACGATCGGCGTGTCAACCATGATGGTAATTCCTTAAGAGTCAGATCACAAAAGCGTTTATCAGCTGAAAGAAAATAATAAATCTTTATAACAATTATAAACTTTCAAGAAAAAAGTGCTCCATAATAATGAAACAACTGTAGTCACATTTACATCTTTGTGTCGGATGTTATAGAAGATACTCTATAGAACAAGAAGTACTGGCCAAGGTCACAAGAAGAGAACATACTTTTTGTAAATCAATTATCAGAGCTCAATGTAGTCAGAGAGTAGGTACAGCAATTGATCATCCAGAAACCAATCTTTGATTGTGTTTATGATAGGAAGTGCATGGAGAAAACCTATAATAACCACTTGGATGGTTTTGATATTACAACCTTAAAAGAAAATACTATGCAGATAATACTATGAGAGTAAATATCTACGTAAGACATTCTAAATCTTGACAAATTATTTACGTTTGCCATAAAAAACCATTTCATGATAAGCTCCATGAACTCTTGGATTGTACCCTTCAGGATAACAACCGATTCCAAAAGTCTTCAGCCTCAATACTTTTGCCACATTCAAATTGTCTCTTAAACCAGGAATAGGTGAGCCAAAGAAAGGCCTTGGTTTAATAACCGAATCACCAACAACTGCCACTTCGGCAGCAGCTTTTTTGGCCACTTCTCCCATGACTTCTCTCTTTTCTTGATCGAAAGGTCGTTTCAGACAGTAAACCGGAAGTAAGGAATATTCTTACCCCAAAACAGAGATTGTAGTTCTTATTGCTCCTCATGGTATAAGATTTTATAAGAAATGGTTTTAGCTTTAAGTTTCCACAATCAGATAATTCTTCCATCGAACAATAGGCAAGAACTGTAACATAACGTTTGTCAATCAATATACAGCTGAAGGTAAGATCTACATTTTGTTACGTCAGGTTTTCCTTCTAAGTTGTTCGATTCTTGCTAGCTTCCGGTTTGGTGAAATGTTGTTGGATTGTGCAACTATAATGGTTCAGCCCAAGTCCACAACCACTATACATATCCTTGAGCTCTATTATTCCTATCTGATCTATAGGTTATATGAATCTCAATGACAGACTGTACAAATCACTGATTCTATTGACTATTACTAGTAAATTTCAACTATTTCTGCCACTTTTTGAGCTAAAGAGATCAGTGTTGGAATGGAAACCAGTATCAATAAATTACCCTCAGTTGTTATAACCCAGATATTGGCTGGATTAAATTGGAGAGATAAACTCAATGTTATCAAAGCCATAACACCATGGGCAGTTTCTTTAGAATCTTCAAGCTCTTGGCCCTTATTAACTCTGTCCTTTACTGATAGCAAAGTTATTGCAAGAGAGGAAGAAGAAGAGGGACTGATTAATAATTTATATGTTTGTATTGAAAAATATGGAAAGTACATGAAACAAATAGTGATAAGTTATAGTAGAGAGGAAACCACTTCTTTATATCTTCTATTATCAACCATTTCTAGAAATTGTGTGAAACTCATATCATTCCATGTGTACATTAAACCAAAATTCTTTCAAATCATATCTTTACCAATTTTAGATAAATATATAGAAATCATTAAAAGAACTTGTATCAAAGATATCAAACTCAGAATAATTGAAAGTGCTGTTATATCCTCAGATTTTAATTTGTTTCAAGAAATCGCTCAAAATGATCTCCAAAATAAAGTCACATCGTTAAAATTTTCAATGTCAGATTTCAACCCTTTTGTGAATGAAATTAACATATACAACTTTTCCTTTCTGGAGAGTTTCCCAAATTTAGAATACTTAGAAATTGATCAAAGACATATAACCACTGACCTAATTTTAAATCTTGTCACAAAAAGTTTGAAAGAACTAACTTTACTTCAAGTGGAAGATAATGACAATGGTGTTTTAAATAAGTTCTCTGATACAATATGGAAGTCATTACTGAAAATGGCACCGTGTTTTCATTTTAACCTTTCATTGTATAATGTTAATATTTCGCTTGATCAGCTTTCACCTTATATGCCTCTGTATAAATTGACATTGGACGGAGCAACTGTGCCTTATATAACTACTACTATGTTAGAGGATATCAGTAGAAAATATCATAAAACGCTTCAAGCCTTCTGTTGCAATAACTCCATGTATTATGAAATGGTGGACAGTCAATTCGAAGTGGCATTACTGAATTTGGTAAAGAAGTGTGAGAACCTTACAAAGCTTGTATATGACTATCCAATACATAGTTCAACAGTCCTGTTATTAGCTAAATGTCGAAAATTTAAGAAATTGAAAATCTTGTGCTGTGAAGTGAATTATGATTGTGTGGAATTTTTAAACAATTATCCTACTCAGTTATTACAATGGTTAAATAACTGTGAATATAGTTATAATGTGAACTCTCTAGAAGGATCTGTGTCTAGTTTATTGAATCATAAGTGGCATTTAGTTGAAAGAAATAAATACTGATATATTTATTGCTGTTTCTCTTTAGTTCTGAAGTCCTGTCATAATCCAAATGAGATTCTCAACATAGTGCTGGGCATCACCATTCATGCCATGATACGATATATTGCAATATGGGGTAATGAGTAATATAGTAAAAACAAGAATGTGGGAATCAGAAGAAGAAGGTATTCCAATAATGAATTAGTAATAATAAGTAAAGACCAAGGCCATGTAAAATTTCATCAAACGGTTGAGAAACAGAACAGATTGAGACATTTTAGTAAATTTCCTTTAATCATTTAAGTAAAGTAGTTAGTCTTTGAACATAAGGATGTGAGGAATAAGTATTTCAATACTGGCTCATGTGATAAGAGTTGTGCCAGGGCAGTTAATATCAGCTGCTTCAAACTGCACCAAAAAGGTACAATAAAGAACCTAAACACAATTTCATTTTATAGTAAAATTTATTAATTAAATGTCTATAAAAGTCGGTTTATAAAACATCAAAGGTTATATAATGCAAGATCATTTACATTCATGGGCACCAAATTACATTGATTTGTCCTTTAAAATCTTCTACTTTATCAAAATTCCAGTCTTTTCAGTGTAACCTTGATCCATAAAGTCATTATCCTCATTGTTAAAGATTAACAATAAATGAAATCCCCTACTGAGCTAATTTGGTGATAAGGTTACTGCTGGATTGGTTAGTTTTGCATATTAAGGATTCATGAAATCAACTGGACATTCAATAATACTAGTTTAAAAGTTTAGAACGTGTTTCACATGTGTCGAAAATTATAGGTTTAGACAGAATTTAAAATGATGTAGGAAGGAATAGAAGGGAACATTTTTGAATGTAATCTTGTTCTGTACCGTTCGAATGAGGTCAGAATTGGAACACCAGAACCTGTTCAGAGCTCACCAATTGAGCACCCCAAGAATATTGGTTAATGGGGTCAAAGGTTAATGCCTTAATAAAGTAAAAAGTAGAATAATAGAATTAATATGCAAATATAATGAAAACTGAGCACTTGATTACAAAGGTTAAATTTTAAAAAAATATCACAACATAGGGTTATATAAAAACAGTAGAAAAACATAATAAATTAATCAACAGTTATAAATAGGAAAGACATTTAAAGATGGTTTAGCCATTATAAGGTTGCCTAGAATCAATTCTATTAAGCATGAATATTTACAATTCTGTGATTTTTCTAAAAATATGGGCTCATTTTGACATAGCCCAACAAATCTGGCTCTCTTCCTCAGACGTGATATATACATAAGATAATGTCATGAGTAGGATCAGATTTGCCAGGCTAATTTCGACTTTGGGAATTCTGAGACCTTCCAGTTGCTGGCAGTCGCTCAATTTTTCCGCTTAGCATTCTGCTTATGGTTCCCATAAAATACTTTGAATTGCCAGTCAACTTTAGCCCACCTTAAAACAAAATGATAGATACTAATAAACATGAATGAAAAAAAGTAATTTTATAAAAATAAATGGAATTGAAGCAATAAATAAAATTTTAAAATAAATTCAAACATCTAAATAGAATAACAACTATTGAAATACGAATATTAAAAGAAAATTGTCTTTAAGAATAAATCTACATAAAATAAGCACTATGTAAGCTTAAAGTAATGCATTAAAGAATCTTTTCTATTTTTTTTCTAAATTTTTCTATTTTAGGTCTATTATTCAGTTAATAAGATGATCATTATATTCATTCACAAAAAGCAATAACAAGAAGAGAACATATGAAATAATACAGCTTGACACATTAATGAGCACAATTTGATTAAAATACAGTTTTAATATCTTCAATTATTCAGAGCAATTTACATAATAGAATATCTAGAAATGCATTTAATTTCATTGTATTACCTAAATTAAATACGACAAAGCAACAAAGAACAAAATTGACACATTAAGTTTTCTTTTTACATCAATAAAGAATATATTTAGAGCAGTGGTCTATATAAAATAAGGTGTCGGCGGCCACAAAATTGTCAAGGGGGAGTGGGGCCAATAGCACCAGGTATTTAAAGAACTCCATGATCTAAAATTTGTAATTGGGACCTGCCTAATTTTTGGGGGGTGGAAACTCCACCGATCTTGAGCTGTATTTTAGTTTCTATATACATTCCTGAGCACGTCACAAAAAAAACATAAACAATCTAATAACTCAACAACAATAACATAACAAACCTTTCATATAAATAATATTCTAGCACAACTAAATAACTGGATAAATCAAACAAAACTTTCAAACACATAATCTTTAAAGACAATAAAAGAACATTTTCAAATACATAATTATCAAGAATTATTGAATATGAGGGATAGATGAGGATTAATAGCTTCTAATAAAACTGAAAAATCTTTCAGGATTTGGCATATTTAATCAAATTGTCACACACAAAACCACCATTTTTATTCAATTTTCCATTTTCATACACAACACAAAAATTTATTCACATCAGAAACATCATCATAGTAAAGAGGCACAAGATCCATAGACATACTAATTCTGACAGTCTTGGACTAATATTAGTTTGCGTGTATCCATAGATCTCAAGCTTCTTTATATCTACATGATTCGTTAACAATTCTCTAGCTCTTATTTACAGTATTTATTTAACTTATAAAAAATCACAGATCTTAGTATTACACATTAATGATTAATGAAGAAAACTATGATATTTCTGACACAAACCCCACAAATCTCTTAATAATATTCCCAATAAGAAGCATCCAATGAAGTTAAAAATGTATGATTTAATAAGGGATCTTTAAATTTAGGCAACTCTTTACCAGTGGATATCAAACTGGTTGCCATTGCATCAGGTACTTCTGTAGATATCTTGATCATATCTTTATACCCTTTACCCACGCTGATAATACCTGGATACTGGGGCACCTGTTCACCCTCTATGCTTGGGCTCTCACTCGGTGTCAAGGGAAGTAGGCATTTAATATAGAACTCTGTATCTACATGAGGTGTGATGATATTATAGGTCATGAGAGTGATGGAGTCTGTTATTATAATACTACCAGTAGTTGTACCTATATACAGATATTTATCTTGAATATTCATTGCTGTTACTTGGCTTTTACTCACTGAAATAGAAATCAATATATATTTTAAAATAGGTGAGTATCTACAAGATAATTCATCATATAGTTCAGTAGCAAAACCACATATATTTGAAGTTTCATTAATAAATAGTTTTTTTATCTATGTTGACAACTATCTCGCCATATCAGCATTTCCTAGTTACTAACCCTTTAAACACTGAGTGTGAAAAAGACAAAACATCATATACTCTGAAATGATATGACTTAACATTTTATGACATCCTTTTGTAAGAGCAGCTTCACCAATCAGTAGAACGACTTTTAAATCAGGTCTCCTGAAAATGAACAGTTCTTTTGAACCTGAGAATTGTGAGTGCTTTGCTATGTGTTTCTCTACAACAAAATTCATACCAAGTGACCCAGCCAACAATATTTCAATACAACTCACCATCAGTGTTACCTGAAGTAAATATTAACTGTGATAAATCTAATTTGTTCATAATAATTCTATTAACAGTACTCCATCTTAATATTTCACTGCCTAAAATAAAGATAATTTTAAAAATTAGGCATGATTTTCCTTGTGTATACGAGAGCTGTGATTCCCCGCCCTGAGCTCGAGGTAAGAGCAACAGTGGCTCAGCGAGTTAGAAGCTTGCTTGCTAACTTGAAGGTCTGAGGTTCTATTCCGACATAGATCAAGATATTACCTGTCAGCGATGCAGGTCAGAGGGCTGACATGGCTAATCTCCCTGACTGAACACTGTATGGGATTGCCAGTCTTCATTAGCTCAATTACGTACGTAAAAACCCCATTCATTTCATTTGAAAGTGAAAACCTAGATATGTTGGCAAGAAGAAACCTAGTTGATAACAAGATGATATACAGTGAATGGGTTTCTAGATTAATTTCATTATTAAAAGAGTGCGCATTATATTTACATTACCTGGATAATTATAAGACCAAACAGAAATATTATCATTACACTGCTCAGCTATCATAAACATACAGTAAGTCCCTACTGGTAGCTGTTTGGTACTGGTATTCAGCTGTTTTATTATACAACATTTATTAACATCCCATATACTGATTATACCTTTACCTTGTCCTAACCATAACTCATTTCTATAATATATGATGTCATTCTTATTCACTCAATTGAGAATGGAGAGTAAGGGCAACAGAGTTATCAAGGGGGAATAGGCAATTCTTTCTCTATATTATATGATAAGAACTATGAAAGTGCAAAAGGGGGCGGAAAATCTTTGGAAACACTACTGTGTGGAGGGTTTCCAACAGGTGGGACATGTTCAGAACTAGCCAATCTACTCAGAATTCAATCAATTTAAATCTTTACCTTCTAGAGTCAGCAACTTGAGTAGAACATAGACTAATATCTGTTTTATGTTCTTCAATATTCATATCTCGTAGCTGACCATTAGACTGAGTGTTTAATATAAATATCTCTCCAGATTGTAATACAGCTATAACTTTCTCCAGTTGGTGAAAATAATTCAGTCCAATAACAAAGATATCAGATATAGTGGTAATTGGTAGAGTGAACTGTTTCAGTAACTTGTGGCTCTTTGAACTGAAAGCAAAAGACACAGACAAAATATTGATATTGTCTCTGCAGGAATAATTTTGATCGAAACTTTCATATGAATATTTCACTTTTAACTTTTATGTACCTTTTTTGGCTAATATGCAGTGTGCAATAAGGAAATTTCCCTAGCCTTCAACCTTTCTCTGTCCTACTCAGGTTCATAGAAACGCCACCATAACCCAACTCAGACATGTCAAGTTAACTACTATTTTTTAATATTTCAAACACTAAGAAAATGTTCAATATGTGTATACGAGATATACATATAATTTGACATAACATGACAAATGGTTTCAAATATATGATCTGCTTCTCTTTGAACAACAATC